GTGGATAGAAGATGAGGGGTGCTGGGGGAACTGCAGAATGGGTTTCGGAAACACAGGAGGTTGGAAGACAATCTGTTCTCACTGACGCAGTGCATCGAAATAGCAGAAAAAGAACACAGGCTCCTGTGGCTAGCATTTTCGGATATAAAGGGAGCGTACGATAGTGTGGTTCAAGAGGAATTGTGGGGAATACTGGACACACTAGGCGTGGAACATGTAGTCACTAATCTTTTAAAGGGTGTCTATGAAGGTAACAAGGTAGTTATAAAGTGGGAAAAACAGGTATCCAAGCCTGCAGAGGTAAAACGGGGGCTTAGGCAGGGGTGCCCCCTGTCACCCTTATTATTCATGATGTACCTACAAGGATTAGAGGCAAAATTAGAGGGAAGTGGACTGGGCTTCAACCTCTCTTTAGTCAAACATGGAAAACTTATTGATCAGGCACTACCAGCAATAATGTACGCAGATGATATAGTGCTAATGGCCAACAACAAGGAAGATTTGCAGAGATTGATGGACATCTGCGGTAATGAGGGAGATAGGTTAGATTTTAGATTCAGTAGGGAAAAATCAGCAGTCATGATTTTCAATGACAACGAAGGTAGTGAGCTTAGAATACAAGAGGTCACGCTAGAGATAACAGATAAATACAAATATCTGGGCGTATGGATAAGCAATGGGACCGAGTATCTGAGGGAACACGAAATATACGTGACGACTAAAGGTAACAGGAATGCAGCAGTCAGGAAAAATAGGGCACTGTGGAATTACAATAGGTATGATGTTGTGAGAGGAATATGGAAAGGGGTCATGGTTCCTGGGCTGACGTTCAGCAATGCGGTCTTTTGCATGAGATCAGAAGTTCAAGCAAGATTAGAAATTAAGCAACGTGGAATAGGTAGGCTTGCTTTAGGAGCTCACGGGGATACACCAAATCAGGGAGTACAGGGTGATATGGGATGGACATCATTTGAGTGCAGGGAAGCTAGCAGCAAGATAAAATTTGAGAAGCGATTGAGAGAAATGGGGGAAGAGCGTTGGGCTAGGAAGGTTTTCAGCTACTTGTACATGAAGAATGTCGATACAAAATGGAGGAAGTGAACCAGGAAGTTGACTGGTAACTACTTAGAAAACAGCAGGTGGCCAAACCAAAAAGAACTATCGGTTAAGAAAAAAGTGAAGGAAACGGAGACTGACATGTGGATAATGGGCATGATTAAGAAGTCCGCACTAGAGATCTATCGAACTTTTAAGCAGGAAATTGCCAAGGAAAGGATCTATGATAATACTCGGGGTAGTTCTCTACTGTTTGAGGCTAGGACGGGAGTACTGCGAACCAAGACATATCGGGCCAAATACGAAGGGGTCGACACAGTATGCAGTGCGTGTGGAGAGGAAGAAGAAACTGCCGAACACTTGATAATGTTCTGTAAAGGGCTTCACCTTATAGTTCAGGATGATGGCGCAGAGTTTTTCAAAGCACTGGGATTTAGGGACAGTGAGGGCAAAATAGACTTTAAGCGGGTAGACTTAACTAGAAGGAGGTTATCTGATTGGTGGCTAAAGTCAAGGCACGAGTGAAAATTAAACCCTTCACTGCGAAGTACGAATCCTCAACTTCATTATTTAAAGGAAAAAAAAAGTTAAATGTTATGGTTAGTTCACTAAGTATTACGGCTAGGTGGCGTTAGCCGCCGCCCGATCTAAAGGGTACAGCCACATCCATCCATCCATCCATCCATGTAGCCACCTCTAGTTTAGTTCTTGCAGTGTTCACTAGATGGCGGTACCGTCTCCTGTATGTAGCCACCTCTCGTTTAGTTCTTGTAGTGTTTACTAGATGGTGGTGCTTGTAGCTGATGATGAAAAGATGCAAGATGTTATAAACTAGAAAGCGGTACTTGTAGTTGATGAAAGACGCGAGATCTTATAAAATAGGAATGATGTCACATATGGGGCGTGTCATTGGTTGAAGGCAATCGTTCTATTTAGTGCGGCGACGTACGCTAGGGGGAGCGTTGTAATAAAATCCGTTCGCTGTTGGCGCGCGCTCGGAGTCGCCGGATAGATAAGGCTGCACAGCGGAGAGAGCGCAAGGCGGCAGCAGCGCGCGCTCGCAGACAGAATCCCAATGTGCGAGCGCGCGAGGCAGAAGCGCTCCGTGAAGCTGCGCGACGCCGCCGCCAAGATCCTGCCGTACGTGAAAAAGAGGCTGCAGTGGCGCGACGCCGCCACCAAGATCCTGCCCTACGTGAAAAAGAGGCCGCAGCGGCACGGCTGCGGCGTGAACAGGACCTGCCGAACGCCACACAACGGGAAGCGGCGAGAAAGTGTGCGTATCGACAGGCGAACCCCGAAGCGAGAGTTCGAGAGGCTTCTGCAAAACGCGCCAAGAAAGAACACGAAGGTGCCGACGCGCGTTTCAAGCGCGACTTCCTGGACGTTTCGTTTGGCCATAGCTGTGGTGTGTGTGACAGACTGTGGTTCTCGAACAGTCTAGTCACGATATCTTCCATCAAGAACGACCAGGCTCGGGGTAATGCCATTGCCGTGCTTCGGCGCGAGTTCCCCGCCGACGACGGCGGCAGCAGCAGTGGCGGTGACTACAATGTTTGCTCGAGCTGCAAGAATTCGCTAGTGGCGGGAAAGGTGCCTCCAATGAGCGTATCTTATGGCTACACGTACCCACCCAAACCGGATCACTTGCCGCCTCTGAACCCCGTTGAGGAACGACTGATCGCTCCTCGTCTACCGTTCATGAGCATAAGGCGGTTGACGCACGGAAGCGGACAGTACGGCATCAAGGGGCAAGTGGTTAACGTTCCGATAAACGTCCCCAACACGGTTCAATGCCTACCTCGGAACGTTCCGGACGACGTGGTCATCGACGTTCATCTCAAGCGCCGGCTCGTGTGCAAACCGTCGTATAAGAAAGGTCTCGTTAAGAAACGTAACATCCACGAGTGGCTCAAACACCTCGAGCATTCTCCGTTATACAAGTACCTCAAAATCAAAATTGATTGGAGCCGCCTCGCGAACGTGCAAGACGACGGTGACGTGGACGACGACGAGATTGAGCCGGCGCCGGAGGTTACCGACCTGGAAGAACCTATGCAGGCGGCGATTGCACTCAACGCAATGGCGCATACCATGATCTTTGACGACGGAGCCTGCGTCATCACTAACTGCGTCAACAGCGGCGGCGACGTTGCGGCGGAATCTGTGGCGGGAAAGGCGGCGCATTCTGCAGCTGATGAAATAGGTCTAATCGAAGGTACGCACAGTCTCCACGTGGCGCCCGGTGAAGGGCAGACTCCCATCTCCCTGCTCTTTGACGAGTATGCCGAAGAGTTGTCGTTTCCTCAAATATACCTCGGTATACCTCGTAGAATCACCGGACCCAGACCGACCCCCTTCACAAAGGCGAGTAGCGAGATTCGTCGTACTGATCGTCGCGGAGTGTGCCCCGATCACGTCTTCTACATGGCCATGAAGGTCATGCGTCACAACGTTGCCAGCAAGACTATGACGTTCAGGACCAACGCAATCACCAGGGCGATTACGCAGCAGCAACTTGAGAATGCACATTTCATGGATGAAGTCCTCGGCCGAGATCTCGGCTTCATGAGAGGCATACCAAACATCGTACAATACTGGCAAGATCGAAGAAAGGAACTCTTCGCCATGATTCGCCAGTTGGGTAAGCCTCACGCATTTCTCACGCTCTCTGCCGCGGAACTGCACTGGGACAGACTCATCGAAACGTTGGAGCGCTTGCGAGTGGGTGCCGAAGGGGTGGCACGAGCCTTGGAAGAATTGAATTCCATGCAACGCGTCGAACTGGTCAATAACGACCCAGTTGCGTGTGCAATTTACACCCATCGAATCTTCAATGTGATTCTCAACATACTCAAAGATAAGAGATGCTCCCCGTTCAAGCCCTATGTTGTGGTAGACTTCTTCAAGCGGGTCGAATTCCAACAGCGTGGTAGCGCACACATTCACACCATTCTGTGGCTCGATAACGCCTCGCAAGAGGAAGTGTCTGGCAACATGCCGCGCACGCTGGAAATGGTCGAATCGTTGCTCACGCTCGACACAGACCTTCTAAAGAGACCCAGGACCCAGCTGCACGCTCATACCCACACTTGCTATGAGCGGGGACGCACCAAGTGCCGTTCCGGAGCACCGTTCATGCCCAGTAATGACACTAGGATTGTAGTCCCCTTTCCTCCGACCGAGGACGAGGCCGAGAAGGCACATCGTCAGAAACTCAAGCAACGGTACGAAAAGATGCACGACGCTTTGGAGAGGGGATCGTTCGTCTCGTTGGAAGACTTTCTCGCCACCTTCGACGTTCGGTCCGACGCAGAATACATGGACATTTTGAGAGCCGGATTTACGCGTCCCTGCGTTCTACATCGTCGCACCCCAGCGCAAAAAATGGTCAATCCCTTCAACCCCTGGATCGCCAAGGTCCTAGATTCCAACATGGATCTTAAGGTGATCCTAGACCACTACGCCTGTGCAACGTATGTCGTCGATTACGTCAACAAGGCGGATCGCGGCATGTCCAACCTACACAAGGCCGTAATGCAAATTCTAGAAGAAAAGCCAGAAATGGAATACTCTGCCATCGTACGCTCTCTGGGAGTGACCATGCTCAAAGGGGTCGAAATGTCGGCGCAAGAGGCGGCCTGGTTCCTCTTGGGTCAGAAAATGTCGCAAAAGAGTCGTGAGGTCGTCTACATACCCACGTGCTACCCAGAGGAACGAGTGCGCGTACGCAAGACCAACGAGGAATTGGCAAACGTTGGCGCCTCGTCCACCGACGTCTGGAAGCTCAAAATCGTCCAGAGGTACGAGGGCAGGCCGCCCGAAATGGAAGACGTTTGCCTTGCCGACTTTGCAAGCAAGTACAAACGCGGAACGGTCTTCGCGAGCACCCCATCATCATCCGCTACCGCCATTACAGTGCCGCAGATCCACCGGAGGATTACATGAGAGAGCAGGTCCTCCTCTACGTACCGTTCAGGAACGAGGCTGTCGACGTTCTCGATCATAATAAATACCTCGAGACGTTCGAGGCCAACAAGGACCTGATTGCTACCAAACATCGCCAATACAACATCGGCAATGACGACGACATCGTGGCTCAGTTGATTGAAGAGCACAGGATACAGCAGCAACGAGAAGAAGATGCGGCCGCCGTTGACGCCGCGGTCGTTGCCGCCGTTCCCGCCGACGAAGACGCCGACCTCTTGCCCAACGAAGACCTGATGCGTGCCGTCAAAGACACCAGTCCCTGTGCTGCCGTGCGCAAAAGGCAAGACGTCATGGATAGAGAGGAATATACCAGACTCATGCGCATGACGAATGCGGAGCAGTACGAGTTGCTCCGAGAAATCATCCACAGGCAAACGACACTCGGAGCACTTCCGTTGCGCGTCTTCTTGACAGGACCTGCGGGATGCGGTAAAACGTTTGTCCTAAAGCTCGTCATGGACGTTTACAACCGCTATAACGATAATGCAGGTCCATACAATGCATTCGTCATTTGCGCGAGCACGGGAAAGGCGGCCGTGGCTGTAGGCGGAACCACCGTGCACTCTGCCTTCAAGCTCACTCGCAACAAGAAGGACCTCGGATTGGGCGACAGCGAACTGAATACCTTTCGAGTTGCTTTCCGTTACGTCAAGTGCATCATCGTTGACGAGGTTAGCATGTTGTCGTCTGATAACCTCAATACCATCGATTGTCGCCTCAAGCAAATCACCCAAAAGCTAGACGAACCCTTCGGAGGCCTCGACGTCCTCATGTGCGGTGATTTGCGCCAGTTACCACCCGTCCGCGCAAACGAGGTGTACAAGAGGTGCAGAGAAGCGGGTGGGCTCTTCGGGGCCACAATCAAATGGCACTACCTCGATTACTTTCCGCTCGTCCAAGTCGTCAGACAATCCGATGCCTCCTTCTCGGCTCTGCTCACAAAGATCGGAGACGGAAGAGCACTTCAGGACGATGAGGTCCGACTACTCGAGAGCTGCTTCGTCACCACAGAAGAAGTCTTGGTTCGTGCGTCCTCGGCGATACGACTCTTCTACTCCAACGAAGAGGTCAACAAATTCAATACTTTCATTGCACAGCGAGGAGGAGGAGAAGTCGTTTCACTGCAAGCCGAAGATACCTACCTGGGGTGCGCCAACCAAGACGCTCTAAACAAGGCAATCGCAAAAGTTGAGAAAATGTCACACACCAAGTTTGCAAACCTCCCTCACGAAATTCTCATCGTCCTCGGCAAACCGTACATGATTACCACCAACATTGACGTCATAGACGGTCTCGTCAATGGGGCCGTTGGCATTCTCAAGGTGTGCGAGAGAGCGGTAAACGACGGCGACTTGCCGAAACGCCTCTGGTTACACTTTGACGACGCCACAACCACGGGTAAGCTTACTCGTCTTCGGTCCAAGCGAATGGTGAACGAGGCCAAGCGGAGTGGTCACGTCATCGACGCCTTCTGGGTCCCCATCGAACCTCGTGTTACCACCCTAACCTTGGATCGCAAGACTGGCGTTGCCTGCAAGAGAAGGCAGCTCCCCCTCGTTCAGGCCAGTGCCATTACGGTCCACAAGTCCCAAAGGGGAACGTACTCGTCAATTGTCTATGAATATAATAAAACGCACCCCCAGAAGTTGGTGTACGTCGCGCTCAGCCGCTGCGCCAACGTAAATAACCTCTACCTCACCAATGCAAAAGGAGACCAGCGGTTCTACCATAAAGACAAGAACGAGGACACAGCGATGCTGAACGAGTTTCAACGTCTAGGCCGACATCGATTACCGACCGTGACGCAGCAGTATCAACGATCTCTGCGAGAAGACGTTGACTCTTCCAACGAGTTTACCATTGCCCTCCTCAACGTTCGCTCTCTCAATGCCCACGCACTTGACATAGAAAGGGACCCCATACTGACCGCAGTCGACGTGCTGTGCTTTACCGAGACGTGGAACGTGACGAGATTGTTCATCAAAGGATACGTTCCCGTCGTGTGTACGCTTTACCGAGACGTGGAACGTGACGAGATTGTTCATCAAAGGATACGTTCCCGTCGTGTGTACCGATGAATCAGAACGTCCTGCAGGTGGTGTCGCCATCTACGCGAGGCAAACGGAAACGGCTGAAGATCTCAGACTACCACTCACGAGTCAAAGCCAAAACGGAGAATATGCAGCCATCAAACTCTTTGACTCTGGAATCGTCCTCATGACCATGTACCTCGCACCCAACCTGTCGACCGGGAACATCAAGGCATTCATAGACACTGCGTTACGAAATTATGAGAACAAATACAAGAATGGACCATTTGTACTACTTGGAGACTTTAACGTGGCTATCATAGACAATAATTGGCTTATCCAACATATGGCTTCTAGATATGCACTCAGACGTATATCGTTTGACCATATGAAACCTACCACGATCCGAGGAACATGCATAGACCTAGTATTTGCAAATTGCCCACTGCAACCCATACAGGAACTACTCTCCCTTCATTTCACAGACCATAAAGCCGTCATAATGAAGGGACATCGCAAGCCATCCATCGTGTAAGAACAAATAAAAGTTGATTTGTGTATATACACACACAGCGTTTCTCACGTCTTTACATGATGATCGACTGGGTGAATTACACGGAAGATTCACAGTTTACCGATGAATCTCCCCGGAGCTTCGCCCATTCATCATCATTCACCCCGTGAATATGCCGTAATTTTTTTTTCTGGCTGGCACTGGCCGCAGAGACTGCCTCAGGCACAGACGAAGCGGTTTTTTTTTCTGGCTGGCACTGGCCGCAGAGAGCGCTTCAGAGAGGCGGTAACCAATGTGAGGCCGCGCTGGGCGCGTGGACGAGAAGGGAGGTGGAGACGAGGTGACTGGTCACGGGTATAAGAAGGGGGAGAGGTGTATGCGCCAGACCCTTTCCGAAGTTGAGCAGGACTTATAGTACGCCCGGAAAAGAAGCGGCAGCGGAAGTAGGCACTAGAGCACATCGCTCTTTCGATAGCTTTCACTGTGCGTGAATAGCGTCTTCACTTCTTATGATTGGCACTTTACTGACCGCGAAAACCAAGACACCGGAAGCCGATAACACATAACACAACACAAACTGCAACAGCATACAAATGTCACGTAAATTCATTCAGAAATGGCACTCTCGATAGCTAGTCGACATCGACAGCTCAGGGTGTGCTCGAATCACCCTCAACTGAATCGCGCGCACAGCTCGTCTACTTTCTCTTTATGAGCGTGGACAGTCTACGAGCCGCGTCCATCACTTCGTCGACCAACTCGGCTGGTGTCACGTTGTGCAGCCATCGAACCACATTGAGCGTGGTAGCTCCGGGAGAGTAAGAAGCACGAGGTAGTTTCTCGCGGATGGCCATCTTCATCGCGTCGACCACCTCCTGAAGCTCGCCCCTCATGAACGTCGAATGGAGGATGTCGGCACTGTGCTTGAAGTAAGCAGGCGACCTTGTCGTTGACTCGTTTCCGGACTCTGTCGGGAAGTAAGTCCAGGTCCCGGTCGAACGACTCTTCCATGCGCAAGTGGTTCACCAGCGCTGTCCTGCAACGAGGAGAGCGAGCGAAAACACTTATTTGCGACCAGTCAGATAGTAAATGGGTTATCGCGGGGAGACTCAGCTGTCCACAGGAGCTTAAATCCTTCCCATCCCTCCCCCAAAATTCAGCCAGAACCAGTTGTCTTCTAGAGGCTGCCAGACTACACAGGTGACATTTTTTGGCCTTATTGTTCCTGGCTGTGGAGGGAGGATTTTCACGACTGTTTATCTCCATGAGACCATATAACGCTCGGCAAGCCCATAGCATGTGTTGTAGGAACGCTATGCCTTCACAGTTTTCGCGTTTGTAAAAGTTCACATCAAGGTATGCTGGTTTGGGGTTGTAACCATCTGCAGTTTTCGCCAGATTACCTAACGGTATCCAGAGACGTTCTACAACACTACATAACGGGTGGAACTCTCCCAGCCTACGACATTTCCCCTTTACACATTAAGCTGCAATCTACTGTCTGGTGCAATAACCAACAGTATCATGTGTAATAAAACATAATACGGCTGAACATTTTCATGTAAACTTGCGTTCACGCTTACAAATAATAAAAACGCTCGCAATCTGGAGCTTTCAACACGGACGCAGTTCTCATTGGGTGTTCAAGGTGATGTTTTCGAAGCTCTCTACCATAATAGATTTGGGGAAACGTGCTAAGTCTTTTCAATACGAAGATAAACATTGTTCAAATCATGACACTAACGTAGCACTGGGAATAGACGTTGGCCCTGACTGAGTCACGTGTAATACATACCTGTATGCACCTGGCTCAATGGTACAGACGCGGAGGCCATTGGTGAAGTATTGCCGGCGAAGGCCGTCAGCCAGAGATGTTGTAGCGCACTTGGACATGCAGTATGCCAGGTACTCTGGCATAGTTATACGACCTGCAAAAAAATGGCTAAAATGTTAAAGATTCAATCTGTTCCACGAAGATGGATGGCAAAGCAATTCAGCACACTACACAAGTATGATACAGAATTTCGAACTAGAGCTCAACACACTTCTTGCTGCTTTATCCGAAATTTATGTGCAGACAGCACTCTTCTGCATAGAGCGCATGCTTCTTTGAAGCTTTTAATTGGAGTTGAATGCGCCTTTCTGCCTCAAAATCAGTCACCTTGTCTTCCGAGTGACACGTACATTGTTGTTTGACACCCGTCAAACCTTCTTCGTACTTAGTTCACGCTTGGTGAATGGCGGGGTTCGCCCAATTTCTGTTGCACGTTTCTGCTCGCCAACAAACGGAATGCCCTAGTCACATACAAATTAGCTGAGACACTTACTTGCAAAGTAGCCTAAACTTAGCCTAAAGCGAGCGAAAGCCAGTGAGAAGCAACAGAAGACATGTTTTTTCTGTAGACAGGATCTAGACGGTCTTAAAAAAAACAGCTGCAATGGTGAAGGAGCGAAAAAGACTCTTTCGGGAATGTTTAATAGGAAGAATGGTCAGTAACCAGCGGGATATTGTGGCCAGTCGATCAACCGCTTCTTCGATGTCTATTGATGAATTGTTTTTGAGCACATTTATAATGTGAACATAAAAAAAAGAAGAGGGAACGACTAACCCAGGAAGCTTGTCACGAGGACCAGCCGGCCCCGAGATTTTCTCAGCAGGGGTAGGAAGGCTGTTGAAACCGACAGGGCTCCGAACGTGTTCACGTCGAAAATTGACCGCACTCTGCTCATGGCTGCCATTCAATGTAGCCCAAGTGTGCCACTCCGGCGTTCGCCACGACTGCCCACAGCTCTGCGAACAAAAGACGAAGAACGACCAGCTGTCTTAGATTAGCGAGAAGTCACGAATGCTTCTACGGTTCAGAGGCTGTAGACTTGCGGCCTTAAAATGACTTATATGTAATGTCTAAAAAATAAGGAATATTTTGTTCGAGACGCTGGCTTCTTTGTGAGGCACAAATGAATAAATTCTGCAGACAGTCAGATCAAGAAACACATAGCTAGATAACATTAGTTGGTAGTTCGACACCCTTCTGCTTCTTTCCTCCCCCCTTTTTGTATGTTTCTAGTAAAGTGCCAGTTACGAAATGTTCAGCAAGCTGAGGCACCAACTCACCCAAAAGCAAGATCTGTATTATTTGCCGTCTTTAACTGTAGTGCAGTAATGATGACGTAACCTAGAGCGAACTAAAAACTCCTTTTTTCTTCGGTGACATTCAAGCCCGCAACCTTCCCACCGACGTCTTTACCTACGTGCGTCGCTGAATAACACTACCCAGGATTAAGGATGATGAAACACCTAACGAACCGGACGGGGAGCGCTTTACGTCGTCAATCTATTGGTAGAGCATCGGAGGCCTAATTTAAAGGTTCTGTATTGAGATCTCACAAACAGAAAGGGTGATTTTTTCGTGAAGCTTAATTCATCATTGATTCACATCCACATTACCGAACCACAATTGAAGACAAATAATGTCCCCTATGCTTCGTTTGGTTTCACTGTGCCTTGGATTCATTTGGTTGGGCCACACATGAAGGGTGCCGATGTTCACTGCACAACATTTCACAAAGTACGCTGTTGCTAACAACGTCACACTACAATTGTTGTGAGGTCGTGCTGCGGTCGTGTTGCGCCTCACGCATTCTAGTCTTTTGTTTTCCGAATAGGACCGAGTCCCTTGCACACGGTGTTGTGCACGTTACGAAAAAAAAAAACCGCTAATAGTTACTCTAACGAAATAGGAACGCGCTACTGCCGTCGTTAGCTCCAAAAAAGGTAAGAAGTTCTTCAAGGTTTGTGTGGAGATGGCCCAACCTTCTTACAGGGTGTAGGCATGCCTCAAAAAATTTCTACCCACGATTGTCTAAACGAAACAGATTCCGCCTGCGCAATTCTTTGTGAATGCTTGAGAGGCTAACAGATGTACAACTCTGGGTCAAGAAAAAAAAACTTGTAAAGACGAGCTCTGGAAGAATTGCACCCAGAAGATGAAAAAGTAATTAGTAACGTGACACCACATGTTATCGAAAATAGTAACGTAAGTACTTTACCCGTTACAATTGAGACATTGTGAAACACACGTTACTAAGTTACCGATCAGAGTAACGCGTTATCAGTAACAGCGTTACTTGTCACCGTATTCGTTGCCACCAACATTGTTTTCGCATACCACACACTCTCTAAGCCATGGTGTAAAGATTGCAACATTTGCATCAAACGCTGGCAAGGTACGGATGCGGATAAAAACCACTCTGAAACGAAGAGATAAGAACGGGGACAGATAAGAAGATTGCACTTAGTGTATTCTTGAAGTGAAAATTGGTTTTTAGATTACTTGGTGTGGCATGAAAACAGTAGCATCAAAGAAGATGACGCGTGAAGTTGTGAAATATGATGCATCTCCCCCACCGTCTACACTAATGTCTTTTCTGCTTTCTATTCACTTTAATAAAACGTATTATGTGCCATTCCAATCATCTTGTATGCTTTGGCACAGAATCCGTATAGAGTACATATGGTTACCATATGTACTCTATACATATACATATTTATAATTTATTTCCATAAGAATAACGCAAAACCACATACAAATGTGAAATCGCATGCGGAACGTTTCAGTATGGCATGTATTTCGTTTGAAAATAAATTCGCAGCAAACTGGTAGCTCAGCGAACGTGGCACCAGTTTTTCGTCCCGAGAGCAAGAACAATCAGTATTGTTAATGCAGATGTCCCACCTTTCCCGTCCAAGTGGCTTTCTACGACTTCCAGTGCTTGATTTATTTCTTCTTCTTTGGTAACGTCCATCTGAAGCACTAAGGTGTTCTCCACGTTCTTGATGTATTTCGCACCCACACCGTTTCCATCCAAGCACCCCGCGTAGACGAAGAATCCTTCTCTTGCCAGCTGCATTGCCAGCAAGTGACCGAATCCAGTGTCGCAGCCTGCGAATGGTACAGGATAAAACAGAGTTTTCATAGTTCTGTTAGACCGAGGGATCTCGTACCGGGAACCATAGAGTTTGGCAAAATTAACTAGAGGGCACTCTGGCGCTGCGATCGTTCAGCTACCATGGCAATGATGGGTAGTACACACATTTGCCTAGTCTTCGTACTTGCGGGTGGCGAACCGTACTTGCGACTTCGTTTACTGCTGTTTTTCGGTTTTTGTTTTGAAAGAAAGCTTCAACCCTTTTAAACTTTGTGACCCGATTTGGAAAGGTAAGTATAAAAGAATAAGGAGGTGAAGCGCAAACGCTGAACGTTTGCTAATTTGTGTTTTCGTGAAAAAAAAAACAGCTCTAAGCCACACGAACACACACGGAGCCAGAAGCAGGCCAGAAGTACGAAAATTAGACAAATGTGTGTACTACCCATCAATCCCATGCTCGTTGAAGCACCGTGTGTTGCAACTCCCATAGACACTAGCGCCAGAGTTCCCTCTAGTTAGTATTCTGGGGAAATTTTTTGCCGGGAACATTTCGTATAGTTGGGTGACTTGGTGCGTAGGTTACCAAGATAATGGAAAATTCTTGTGGCATGGATGTCACTAGAGCCCTCAGCGAGTACCCGGGCTCATGAATTCTTCATCTCTTGAAACTTCCATTTCGCCCCGAACTTCCGTGTTGTTTTATTTTAATTGACAAAATAGTTTGGCAAAGTTTAAATTAAGTTTAGAAAAATCACCCACAATGGTGGTCAAGTGGTCGGGGGGCTCAACCACTCAACCACAGGTCGCGGGATCGAATCCCGGCCGTGGCAGCTGCATTTTTGGTGGAAGCGAAAATGCCCGAGGCCCGTGTGCTTTGACTTAGGTGCACGTTAAAAAAAAAAAAAAACCCTGCTGGTCAAAATTTTTGGTGCTCTCCACTACGGCGTCTCACAATCATTTCGTGGTATCAGAACATTAAACCCCACCGATTACTAGTTTTAGGAAAAATCCCCACCCAAGCATTCCGTTCAAACGGTTAACCAGCGAAGCTGAATTGTGGAGACCACGTGTTTATCGCGAGCTGAAGTCGGTTGAAGTAGCTGTCTGGCTTATATACTCTGGTTTCTCCGTCCCAACCTTTAAGGAATGCGTGCCTCAAACTTTGCGTTGGGCGACGTGATAGCTTAAAGGGTATTAAGCCCACGTAAAAGATTTTACAGATAGCGATTCACGGTACGGCGGGTGTCATCCCCATAGGTACATGGGCTGACAACACCTGAAGGGAAAGCAGCGCAAGCATTGAAACCCTTTGAAGTAACGCATGCTAGTTGATTCTTCAGTTTTTGAAGAGCTGTTGTGAGTAGGGGGGCTTGCCTGGAAGAGGCTATCCTTCGACGATGGCACACACGTTTCTTCAGAGTGAGGAAGGGGCAGCTGGAGATTCCACTTGTTCCGCAACGGTCAAGCGTCCTCTCTAGTACACATGCACGCATAGCGTTCTTCTTAAATGTGAAGTTTTAACATGTAACATTCGGATATACGGGGATCAATTGCTGTTGTAGTGCTCATTTGTTCGATGTATGTACTCTGTGGGGGTGGCTAACACTCCCTGTAAAGTCGTTTGCGCCTCGTTGCGCACGTGTTCGCAGCTATCGTGCGGTAGGCGGCGTTGCGGTTTGGAGTGTTTGTACCACCACCATCACCATCATGGTTAGAACGGTGGCGCTGGCAGTGACGCCTGGCGGTAAGCCTTCGTGGCGGCGCGGGAAAGATGAGCGGCCCTCTTAGGCTGGTGGCGGTTGGTGCGAACGGTTGTCTGTAGCGGTGAGTCCCCGGTGCGCGGCACCGCGGGTTGCGCGCCATGTGGTAATTAAAGCGTTGGCGAAACCGTCTTCTTGTGTTTGTTATGTTTTTAGTGTTGTATAATATTGTGTAAAGCTGCTTAGCGTGTGGATCACAATTCGTGTAACAATTCGGCTGACGATATTGTCGTTCTAAATGTAGTTAAATAAATGTGTGTTGATTGGTTCGTTCCGACCATGTCGACTGTGTCCGTTCACTCCAAGAGCGTGGCGCACTCATTGTCAGACCCTAGAACTGTTTTTTCTTGTTTTCGTTGTTTGATTTGTTTAGGTTTTTGATATGTGGTATTCAACGCCCCAAAACCACCACATAATTATGAGAGACGCCGTGGTGGAGGGCTCCGGAAATTTCGACCTCCTGGGGTTCTTTAGAGTGCCCCCAAATCTGAGCACACGGGCCTGTAACGTTTCCGCCTCCGTCAATTTATTTAGGTACAACTTACGCGTACAGTAAAACTTTCCGTCTTGAATAAATGAAGCAATGAAGGTTCTTTATTGCTCGCGTATCTTGTAAAAATGTTTGTGCATCATGTTTGTTCTTGATCGTAGTTGTCGGTACTCACGGACCACCTCATTTTCTTGCTTCCTAGCCATGCACCACTTCGCCGTTAAAGAGGAAACAGCAATTGCGCCAGACTTACAAGCCCGTCAAGGATGCGTGCAAGATGGACGTGCTGCACGAGTCCATAATCTGAATACCTGTCAATCGATTTCGTGTGAAGGTACGGAGCGAACACTAAAGTCGTTTGTCTTAGCGTGATGCACTTAGAGGAAGCACGTGAATAAACGAGCAAGCATTAGCCTGAGACGTACTCGAGCTGTATCACATTAAGTACCGAGCCGATGCCTGCATTAGTGGCACTTTCCATATATCTTCCAAAGTGAACGTGGGCGCCTCGACTGCGTTGCATAAGATAGCGTGTAATCACTCGCTGTGCGTTCATCACCATGTGTGCATCTTTGGGGAGTGTATGTGTTTGGGTGTGTGCTAGAAATAGCGTTCGTTTCAAGTCTGCCTCACTTTCATTGTGCTTTTTTCTTAACCTTTTTTTTCACGCTGTGCCACATTAATCTGATACTTTCTGCGCATCGTTACAGAACGTATTAATCCTACTCAAAAGCAACGCACACAATGGTAGAAGGCGGGGATCGATATTAAGGAGTACGGGCGCAACGCAGCAATCAATGTAGCTTGCTGGGAGAGGCCTTGGCGACTAAGCTGCGTGACTGGGCTGATAGTACGATGTAGCTTGTGAACATGCCGGTCTCATTGCTCAGGTAGCTTGAGGATATAAACGCACGACAACCGTGCGCTTGAGAGTGTAGACTTTACAGTTAACACTGATAAGTTCGGAGAGTCTTTATACAAGTTAACAAATTCTTAACTAATTAATCGCGTGGTGCCTCGGGATTGCATTTTAAGACGTCACTAATTGTTGGAATGTTTTAAGAACGTCTTTTTGTTTTGTCGAAACGCATGAAATTTTATACGAGAAGTATTCCTGAGGCTGTAAAAAAAGTAAATGCTTGAGCATTCGGTGCGGCATGTATGTGTGCATTTTTCTTTAAGACTCTTTTGCCAAAATATTGAACTTTAGTGCGGATAAAATAATATTGCTTTAGAGTCTGGGTAAAATGATATTGGTTTAGCGCAGCACAGTTTGAGTGGGAAAGAAAGATGTTATATATAGTATTTTTCCTTAACGCTCAGACTGAGCTGCGTTAAAGCAATATCATCTTACCCAGACCAAAGTTCAATATTCAGTTAAGAAGGGGCAAAAACAGACGACAGTGTGAGCGCTAACTTCTAACTTTTGTTTGTTGCGCACCCTTACAACACATTATATAGCTCCTTCCACGTGACGCCACACACATTACAAAACCGCACGCGTGTGATTGATTGATATGTGGGGGTTTAACGTCCCAAAACCACCATATGATCATGAGAGACGCCGTAGTGGAGGGCTCCGGAAATTTCGACCACCTCGGGTTCTTTAACGTGCACCCAAATCTGAGCACACGGGCCTACAGCATTTCCGCCTCCATGCACACGTGAGGCACAGCACACGATAAAGGAAACGTAGTTGTATCTGATTACAAAATACCCATTCTATACTAATGATTCACAGCACGTACTCCAAAAGATTGAAGCTCTTTTTGAGATAAGGCCATAGACGGCATACTCACACACAGCTTCGCACATTTTTCGATAGCGTTCGCCTCAGTAATTTCCTTCGTCAATTGGTTACGATTGCGGCCCAAGATTGACACACTGACCAAGGAAGGGAGTGCATTCACATGTCTTACAATGCACAGCCAGGAAACCACAGGAAGAAAGCTTGTTTTTTACATTGCAAGTTACACGTGTGCTGTGCCACACGTGTGCGGTTTTGTCATGTGTGTGGCGTCGCGTGGAATGAGCTATATAATGTGTTGTAAGGGTACGCAATAAACAAAAGTTGGAAGTTAGCGCTCACACTGTCGTCTGTTTTTTTCCCCTTCTTGACTGTGTAGTATCTTTCCTTCACGTTCAAACTGAGCTGCGCCAAAGCAATATCATATTATCATGGACCAACTCATCCAGTCAACAGTACTTGTTTAGTCCGGGACCTAGGAAGCGAACCCTTCCACATTGATTTTACGATAGCGAAGAGTGACCTGGCCAGCATTGCGCTGTTCCTCAGCCACATCGCCATCAGTATGAGCCCGTGGTGTCAGGGATTGACTGAACGCCGCTTTTTTGAATAGAGAACGGCGGAGGAGGGGAGGGGGGCGAAGTCTTAGTGTGCAAACCCCTCCTCCTGTTGTTTGTGCACGGAAGATAACAACCCTCACAGTGGATGCAAAAATAAAAGTGAAGCGATAAAGATTGCTTACCAGCGCAAACGACAGGGCAGGAGGGGACAGGAGAAGAGACGATACAGAGCGCTGAATGACAACATGAGGCTGGAGCGAAGAAGTCAGGAAAGGGCCCGTCGTATCAGAAATGAAACTGAAAAGACAGTAGGATTGGGCGTGTTGGTATAACATGATAAACAGTGCTTACCAGCGCGAACGACAGGGCAGGAGGGGACTTCTTCGCTCCAGCCTCATGTTGTCGTTCAGCACTCTGTCTCGTCTCTTCTTCTGTCCCCTCCTGCC